CCCCCCCCCATTTGATGGCAGTCCGGCCTTGCATTGGAATCCACGCGGTCCCTGACGCCCAGAGCGCCGTTGCTGCAGGGGCTCCAGATTCGGGGGGGGGAGGCTCTCGCACAAAGCGAGAAGAAAGTGATCCGCGGGTCAGAATGTCACCCGACCCTCGGTGCGTTTTGCAGCCGTCCCAAAGGATGCAGCGAGCGACACTCTCCTGCAGTGCTAAAGAAGAGTAACCCTTCCCTTCCTAACCCCTTTTTCCATGAATGCAACTGGCGGATCTTCTGTGAAGAAAAGTTTCCGACCTGTCCAGCAGATGGCGCTAAGAGGCTGTGCGGAGGCTGACCGGGTTTCTGGGCCGCCCTTCACCGTCGAGTCTCGGCATCGGATTGTGGCGCAGCCCAGACCTGTCCATTATTATTTTTTTGCACCTCATTCCCAGCGGCGTGTTTGTTGTATGCGCCACGAGGGAACAGTCTGTCCCCCCCACCCCGAATATTTGCCCGTGTTGCTTTTGACTTGTGGAGGGGAGTCCTTGCCCCCTAGTCCTGTTTGTTCGTTAGGATGGTAGACGGTCGCTGTATCCTCTTGCTAATAAACTGGTGTTGTTTTGAACACAAGACACCCGCCTCTGCTATGTGAGCCTCAGAGCAGGAACCGGCCTGAGAATCCTGTGCCTGATTTGCGAGCAAAAGGGAACATCACACTTCCAAATAAGTCCGGTGGCCCCGGTGTCAGTTACTTCCAGATATAACTATGCCTCAGTGCCGTCCTGTCTACTAGCCAATGGTGCCCAGAGCCTCCATGTGCCCCCCCCCCCCAAAGCAGTTGGCCCCAGCAGGTCTGTTACACTAACAGAAATGCTTGATAAGCCCTAAAACTCTCCAAGATATGCGGACTCTAATCTGGCAGAACCGAGTTTGATTCCCCACTCCTCCACTTGCACCTGCTGATGTGACCTTGGGTCAGTCACAAGCTCTGGCACAGCTGTCCTTGAAAGAGAGCAGTTTGTGTCAGAGCTCTCTCAGCCCCACCCACCTCACCGGGTGTCTGTTGTGGGGAGGGGAAGGGAAAGGAGTTTGTAAGCCGCTCTGAGACTCCAAGTGAAGGGTGGGGTATAAATCCAATCTCTTCTTCTTCTTCTTCAAGATATAGGGACAGGTGGACTCATAGTCTAGCTTTATCTGAAGAAGTGAGCCTTGACCATGGGTCATTTTGTAGATAAAGAGGCTCAGGAGCTCATTAGCATAACTCATCAGCATAATTTATTTGCATACGCCACACCCCCTGACATCACCGGAAGTGGGTCAGAAGGCAACTCCCTCCGCTCAGGCTCCACTGGACTGTTTTTGGATTGCCAGCTATTGGGGGGGGGGGGAACGTGCAGATCTGCCCTTGCAGAGGAGGGAGAGCTTGTGCCTGAATAGAACTTGGTCTTAAAGGTGCCACTGGACTCTTTTGGACCAGGGGGGCCAGGGGAGGGGCTCTGCAACTTACCTGGCTGCTTCTTGCTCTGACTGAGGGCTGCTGGGAGCAGGGGGTGGGGCTTGTTGCATGTGCCCGCCCCCTGGGCTCTTTACTGCCAGAGCTCCGCTCCTGTGGGCTCCTGCAGGAAATGACCCCTGGCTGTGACTCACCTCCCCTGCCACAAATGTTGTTCGTCCTTAAGGTGCTCCTGGACTCTGGCTGCTACAGAGAGACTGACACGGCCACCCATCTGGATCTATCTGAAGAAGTAACTGCAGTGACTCACGAAAGCTGCTCCCCTGCCACAGATTTCTGTTGGTCATTAAGGTGCTCCTGGACACGTGCTTTTCCCTCCCGCTGTAGACAGACAGACACAGCCACCCGTCTTGATCTGTCTTCATGGGCCCAACAGCTGGATCCGAGTCCCGGAGCCACTTAGAGGCCGGCAAGATCCTCAGGGTTTAAGTTTTCAAGAGTCAAAGCTCTCTTCGTCAGAGACTTCATCATCGGCCCAAGGATTTCTCTCTGGACCACCTCCCCTGGAGCTGAGGGAGTGAGAGAGAAGGCGGGCCAGATCCAGCCCAAACAGAACCTCTGCCCCCTCCCCCGTATGCTGCGGACCCCACCCAAGAATCACACGCAAACACATTATATGAACTGTTCCCCCCCCCCCCAAGCAGGGCTCCCGGAAGAAGAAGAGAAAGGGATTGGATTTATACCCCATGGCCCTTCACTAACCGAAGGAGTCTCAGAGCGGCTCACAAACTCCTTTCCCTTCCCCTCCCCACAACAGACACCCTGGGAGCAACGCTCCCTCTAAGCTGTGAAGTCTTGTGAGCAACAATTATGCTTGGTGAGCTACTGGTATTAAAGTTCTGAGTGAGCGATTTGGCTGCTGCATCAATTAGTTTGCTCTGGAGCCACATCCTCCCTGAGCTAAGATGAAAATGTGTGAGCTGGAGGCTAAAAAACTGTGAGCTAGCTCACACTAACTCAGCTTAGAGGGAACACTGCCTGTGAGGTCGGTGGGGCTGGGAGAGCCCTTTCGAGAACTGCCCTTGAGAGAACAGCTCTGAGAGAACTTGTGACTGACCCAAGGTCACACCAGCAGCTGCATGTAGAGGAGTGGGGAATCAAACCCGGTTCTCCAGATTACAATAAAAGAAGAGATTGGATTTAGACCCCACCCTTCACTACCCGAAGGAGTCTCAGAGCAGTTTACAATCTCCTTTCCTTTCCTTTCCTTTCCCTTCTCCTCAACTACAACAGACACCCGATGAGGTAGGGGGGGCTGAGAGAGCTCTT